AGGTCCCGGGGCGGGCATCGGCGGCGGCGGCCGAGCGGAGGAGCCCCGCCGCCCGCAGGGCTCGCCTCCAGGGCAGCATGGCCGCGCCAGGCCCCGTTACCACGGCGACGGCCGGGCGGAACGCTTTACGGGACGGACGGGGCGGGAAAGGGCGCGAACGGCGAGAGGGCGGCCCCGCCGTGCGCCGCCATTAGCGGTCCCCACCGCCTCCCCCGCCCCTCGGCGCTGCGTTCCGCGCCGCCGCCGTTCCGCCGGGCCCGTCCTTCTGACTTCGCGGGTGGCCGGGGACGGCCCCGCCGCGGGGAAGTGTAAACCACGATGAAAAAAACCCGGTGTTCCGTGGTGTTTCGCCACCGACCGCAGCCATAAAAAGAGCCGAAACGAGCGTTCCCGGGCGCCTGCCCTCCCGCTGGCGGAGGCGGGGGGGGCCTCATGGCACCCCGCGGCCGCCCCCGAGCAGTCCCCGGGCCCGGTGCGAAGGGCCCAGGGAAGGTTCCAGAGACTCAGCGACAGACGCCCCACAGCCACCATCCCAGCGCCGGCCGCCTTTATTGCCGCCAACCGCCCCTGGCAGAGGGGAAGCGGGGGGGGGGCGGGGACCCCCAGTTCCCAGCAGCAGCTGGTGATGCTGGGGCCGGGGGACGTGGGGTTCAGCCCCTGGGGGGGCTTCTGCCCAGGCCGAGGCGGGCGGAGAAGGATGCTGTGGCAGAACTGGGGGTCTTCGGCTCCGGCGACAGGGCCAGGGGGAGGGAAGGGGCGAAGGGGGCATTTTTTTTTTTGGCACTCGAGGCCCCTGTCCTCGCCTTATCTCCATTCCCGAGGCTGATAGCGGACGTCTGCTCCAAGCAGCAGGAAATTCTGGGAGAAAGAGAGAAAGCGTGGGGCTGCGACGGGCCCTGGCAGCTGCTTTCTCTCGCAGGCGGCCGCGCTCCCCGGCACCCACCCCGTCTTGGGGAGGGAGGATGGATGGGCACGGGTGGTTCTGCCAGCCCCTGTGCCTAATTTTAGGCGTGGAAGGGCTCTGAAGACATTTCACAGCCATGCCTCGCCATAACTATGCAGCAACCCCGTCGTGGCAACCCCTCTGGGGCTTCCCCAAGGTCTCCCACAACAGGGGCTTTCTCCGCTCCCCAGGACCTGGCAGAGCTCCTTCCACCCAGTCTGGCGGGCGCTGCCTGTCCCACCGCAGGCAGATGTGGCCGGCAGCAGCTGCTCCGTATTCACATGCAGCATCCCACCAGGCTCCACTGGCCAGGGAAGGTGGGGGCTCGGGGCTGACGCTGCTGCAGAGCTGTGCGTGCTATAAAAAGCATCATGGGAAATTTGGGCCCCGGGTCTAAGAACTGGAGAACGATGTGGTGCTGCCCTGGGGGTGCAGAGCCCAGACCCCCACCGCGCAGATGAGAAAAGCGGGGCTCTGGTTTGTGGCTGTGCTGCTGGGATCCCGGCCAAGTGCATCCCGCTGCCCGCCGCCTCCCAGCACGGGTGGGGGAACCGGCTTTGCGCACTGTGCTGGCAGGCGGGGGGCTCAGGGGCGGCGGGACAGGCTCCAGCCGGGGCCGGGTGCTCCCCCTCACTCACCTGGTGAAACCTCACAAGGATATTGGAGAGCTGTATTCTGTCCGGCAGTGGCAGAGGGAAACCCTCAGCTAACCTTTCTGGAAAAGACAACACACGTGGCTGCGTTGGGGTGGGAGTGGGAGCGAGAGGGAGCGCAGGCTATGCAAAGCAGGCGGCCACCTCCTGCCCCTGGCCCTTTCTTCACCCCCACTGCTCCCAGGGTAGGCAGAGGAAATTCCTCCCAAGCTCCACAGAAGGGGTGGGGGCTGCATGTTCTACTGTGCCACCCCCCCACCCTCCCCCGGGCCCCTGGCAGCTGCCAGCCCCGCTCCAGCCCAAATTGCTGGGGAGTCATGAGAAGCAGCGAGCGGTGAGAGGGTCTGGAAAGCATTAGGATGTGCGTCGTGCTCATTTTTTCCATTGTGTTCACTGCTGGATGCATGTCACAGCACCGAGAGGCTCCTGCACGCTGCAGCCTGCCTCTACCAGGCACTTTTACTGCCTTCTCCTGCACTCGCTGCCGGCTTTACCCACCGATCAGGCTTGGCAACAGGGATTTAATTAGCGAGCTGGGCCTGCTCAGATGGAGCGACATGGCTAGCGACTACTCCAACACCCCCATTCCCCCCAGCAGGTTCTCACCATTAAGACGCGGGAGCAGCGTAAGGGAAGCAATGGTGTTCATTAAGGACTGCAGCATTCGCACCTGGGGAGCGGAGAGAGGGGGAAGGAAAAGAGCTTTAACCTCCAGGAGAGGAGGTGACCAGACACTGGAGGATAATTAGGAAATGAGATGAGGAGCTGGGATGGGCACATGGTTCGCCAGAGACCAGTGGCTTTGTCTGGTCACGCTGGCAGGGTGGGAAGTGTAGGGGTGAAAGAAGCAATGGCATCTGGCTCTGCATCCTCTCTCAGTCTTGCAGGCTCAGACAGGAGGTGTCTATGGGTCAATGTGGGGTCCTGGGTGCACCCCCAGGTCCCATGTTGGGGGGCAGGAGGGACTGAGCCCTCTCCTTGGCCCCCAGCAGGCTCTCGCCTCCATGCTGGGGGGTCTGGTCATGGTCAAGGATAGCTTACCTGGAAAGTGCCAACATCCGAATGCTTCAGAGAGAGCCTCAACCTGCACAGAGACAGAAGCGGTGCTGTGAAGGCTGTCTCAATGGAGGCAGCAGTTCCCACCCCGGTGCCACCCATCGATGGCTGTGCAGATCCCGTTCCCTTTGGCCCCAGCTCATCCCCTCCCCACCAGGTCCACATCCCTGGGACCTCCCCACCTCACCTCCATCCCAGAACAGAACAGCCCCCAGAAGCACCCCCCAGCCACCCCCTGCCCAGCCGGCGGCTGTGCTCAAGCCGCTGTGCGAGCGAAGCCCTCCGCTGCTCCCACTCCATACCTGCCCGTGGTCAGGTTCCCAACTATGTGGCCAGATTTCACGTCGATGACAGCAGACACATTGCTTGTCTGGGGAGAGAGAGCACAGCTCCGGCAGTGCTCACCCCACCTCACCCCAAACCAGACACCCGGGGGAACAGCTCCCACCAGCCAAAACGCAGCGGGACCAGCTGCCCATCCAGGGGCACATTTGCACGCAGTGTTAAACCTGGCATTAGTCAGCTCAGGTATTTTTCTGTTGGGGACACCCCAGCTGTACCAGGACTGGGCTGGTTTTGGACAGCATCTGGCACCTCCCCTGGCAGGAGCTCAGCAGCGATGGCTCAGCATTGCTGAAGGCAGCAGGAGGACAGTGCACAGCGAAAACTCACATCTTTGCCCCGCCGAGAAGCAGGGGAGAGCTCACCGACACACCGCGTCAGCTGGAGCTGTGGCTACACCCAGAGCTGCCCAGCCAGGACCACAGTCACCGCCGCAGGCTGTGCCCAAACTCACCAGGCTGAGGAGGAAGAGAGGCGCCAGGCTGGAGCTGGGAAGGATGGCATAAGCCTGGATATCCACGACAGGCTTGAGTAAGAGCCCCCCTGGTCCGATGTTCAGAAACGGAGCAGAGGGGGCGGACAGCCTGAACTTCATCGGCATGTCTGGATACATCTTCTCTAGCTGCAGAGGAGCAGGGAGAGGGTAGGGACAGCGGCACAAACCCCCGTTCCTGGGGGAGACCACCTTGCACAGAGCAAAGCCTGTGTGCGGCAGGAGCTCTGGGGAGGCAGGGCTGGAACCACTCACCTGGGGAATGAAGGCTGAGAAGGTGGAGGTGTTCAAATGGAACCCCGTGTCCTTTGGGATCTGCGGGGGGGAGAACAGTCACGCCGAGGCGATGCGGCACGGCCGAGCCCACGGTGAGATCAGCCCCCCCAGCCTCATCCCACGGCCCCCAGCTCTCAGCTCCCCGGGCAGCTCGCTGGGGGGGTCCTCCGAGACTGCAGGCTGCCACCGGAGCTCCTCTGCAAATTGAACCCACTGCCCAGAGGCGCGGGCACGGCCCCTGTCCCACCTGCGCTGCTCACCATGGAGTCTGTGATTTCGAAGACCAGAGCCCCGGCTGCGTGGTAGGCGAAGCCGGCTGTATTGAAGAAGTAGCTGGATGCCCCAAAGTAAACCATACGGTCATGATCCGGGGGGAAGGCCAGCGCCAGCGGAGGGAAGGGGACGGTGGAGCGGTGGGCCAGGGAGAAGAATTCACCCTGTGAGGAGGGAGAGAGGTGAAGCAGGAGAGCAGAGGGTGGTGGGAGTCACCCGCCGATGCTGGCTGGCAAACAGCATTTGCAGGAGGTACCTAAACCTGGTTCCCCACCTGCCTGTGGCGAAGGCATCAGCCAAATCAAGCTTTCCCAGGGCAGCCTCTCACCTTCAGGTCCACGTCCAGGGACTGGGCGGTAGCAGTTGGGGGTGCCACCAAGGAGTAATCGATCCCGGCCTTGTCATCTATCCTGGCTGTGACTGTAAAACACAAGGCAGGCAGATGAGTGAGGGAGAGAAGACACGGGAGAGTCAGGAGCAGAATGCCTCTGCCAACATCCAGTGCCGTGCCCGGGCTTCCTGGTGCAACAGCTCAGTACCAGGTTCATATGTGCTTGCTTCTGTTTAGAAGCTAAAAATCACATTTCCCTCCTGTTTCTCAGCCATGCAGACTAACTCCTGGACCCAAGGAAGGGTCCGGGTCCCCTGGCTAAGGCAGCCCATGCCCCCGCCAGCTCCAGGGCACGGCTCGTTGGAGGCTGCGTGCAGACGAGCCGTCTCCGCGGCTGGACAGGGCGCACAGTGACAAGTCTCTGCTGATGTAGTACTCCCCAGCCCAACTTGGGTGCAGAAATACAAGGAAATGGGGAGTAGGCACAAGATGCAACACTGTCCTCATGGCTGGGAAACATTAGGAAGAACTGCTCCTAAAACCCTGTGCAGCCCCCGCCTGGTACCTGGCAGGGTCTGGAGGTAAGGCTGGAGCTCGCTGCGCACAGACGTGACCACGTTCTCACAGACCTGCGGGCAAGAAAGGCAGCGAAGATGAGCAGGGGCAGCTCTGCCGGGGGCGGCCCATTCACACCCCCCGGGTCAAAGCGTCAGCCGTGCTCTGCTTTGCTGCCCAGTGCCAGTTTTATTCCTTGCAAAAGCCTGCTTAAATAAAAGAGCACAGAGTGATATTTGTCTCTACTCATCAGACGGCACGTTAAGTGTCCAAGATACAACCAAGGTTTATACCTGCAAATATCTGCTTACAGCAAGCTCCCCATGCACAGTTCAGCTGCGTCGAGGCCCTTGGAAAGAATCTCATGTGTGCCCTCAGCCTGTTCCTGTGGCCCATGGTGGAATGAATTGTGCTGAGCAGCCAAGACTTAGCCGAAGCAGAGCAACTGAAAGAGTTAACTCACCCCTGCAGGGGCAGGAGCACTAATTGCACCCACAAAGCGGAGCTGTCCTGAGTTCCTACAGCTCTGTGCTGCCAGGACAGAAGAGCAAATCCCTCTGCTGCTGTCATCCATGGGTGAAGCCTCGGCATCAGTGGGGGATTTAATTGCAGGCTAAACACTAGCCCAGAAAATTTACTGCAGGGCACAGTCCTGCAGACGGCTGAGATAATCTGCACAAGCTCTCTTGCAATGCTTTCCCCATAATGACACAGAAACTGCCAGGCAGGATCAGGCCATCATCTGTCTGACCGGGCATCCAGCCTGCAGCAGCTGATGGCAAGATGCAGAGCTCCGGAGGACCAGCAACCATGCCGACAGCAACGCAGCCTCTGCCTTTGCAGCGCTGAGGAGGAAGAGGAGGGACAGAGCCTTGGGCATGGCCGTATCGACAGAGGGTTGCTGCTCTTCCCTGTGCCCAGCCGATACTCCTCTGTCTGTGCTGGAAATGCCCCATCACCGCCTGGGAGGACAGAGCTGCAGATGGGCAAATGCAGCACCGGTCCCAGTGACCAGGATCTCCCAGTGGCCAGGTCCCCCTGGCACTGGGGGCACAAGGACTGCCCCAGCGTGTGCAGCGAGAGCGCGAGGCAGACACGGGCTGCCAGGGCTGGGTTGGGACCGGGATATTCCCCGGGGTCCCGGTGCAGTGCACTCCCAGCCCCTGCCCTCTCCTGCCCGTTGCCCCTGGCACCATCTCGTACATGGAGAAAGACACTGAGAAACATGCGTGGGGCAAAGAGGACTCGGAGGAGGCGCAGAGGTCCTCTCGGAGTCCCACAGCCACCCTCCTTCCAGGAGGCAAAACAGAAGAAAAGGCCTTTGAGCCCCAGCTTCACCCCTGCTGCCAGCCCATCTACTGCCACAGCTCCCAGGGGCCCTGGGAAAGCCACTTCATGGCATCAGGAATAGCGCCCGGGCAGGATGGGATCTGCTGCGGGAGTGGGATTTGCTTGTTCTCCAACTGCCTCCTTCCTGAGCAAGGTTCACATCCAGGGAGGCTGTAACTCGTGCCAGTTAGCCTTGTAGTAATTATTGCTAACAGCTTGTTTCCATGTCTTGTTGCAGGTCTCCTGCATGTAGGCTTTTGTACCGGGTGGCCGGTACCAGGGCCTCCCTGATGCACCCCGGTAAAACAAGACAGCAAGCATCTGAAATCCAGAAATGAGAATTTCTCCCCCATTGCTCCCCAAAGCATACAGGAGTGCGGCCGTTCAAAGGACAGCTCTGATCAGGTTTCCTCTGCTACACTGAGTCTGGCTGAGGCATAGGATCTAATTAGCTGACCACATGGAAAGAAAAGTCTTTGTTAATTAGGAACCAATTACGCTGGGCTTTGGCAAAGGCTGCAGGTTTCGAATTCAGCCTGAGCCACGCGATGCTACAGAGACTGTAGTTAGCAATGCCCATTCCTCTGGTTTTCACCAAATTGGCAACACACCCATGTGCTCTGGCTCTAGTTAAATCCCTACATGTGCTCCGATCCTTCTAGCACATCAGCTACAAGTGAGGGCTAAAGACCAGGGCTCTGCCCTCCTTCGCTCACGTACCTTGCTCTCCAAAATATTCCGGAATCTGGACTCAACAGCGCCATAGAAGAGGTTGTAAAGCCATCTGCAGAGAAAAACAGAGAGGAGTCCTTCTTTCTCTAGCTCAGAGGTTGCTGCAGAAGTATTTGCCCAGGAAAGGGAGGCACTAGGGATGTGAGACACTGGGGAACGTCATTCCCATACCAATCTGGCGTCTGGCTTTGCCCCAGCATTTGCATTTGCAAACGGACCTGCTTGTAAACCACATGCACAGAAGTCTAGTGACTGTCTTAAATCTCCCTTAAATGTGCAGCCACAGCAGGATAAGTTCAGGCCAGATTTAAGTTCATTCAGTTGCACATCTGGATGAGAAGTATATGCAAGAGTCCGGAGACAGCTGACTAGTGGTGTGCCAGTGCGGGCAGCCTGCAGGCAGAACAGGCAGCCTCCAAGGGACTGCGGATGCCAACATCTTACTCCCTGCACCAGGGCCTGGAAGCCACGTTCCTGTGGCAGACAGGCTAACACACAGCGTTTCCAGGCCTCACAGTGAAGTTACGTACCCAAACTTGCCCCAAAAGTGTACCCGGACTTTGGAGATGCGGGTGCTGCAGTCAGACGTGTCAATGGTGGGTTTCCCAGCGGCACTGCTGCCTAGCTTCAGGTTGATTTTGATATAGACATTCTCCACCTTCAGATCAAATGAACCGTGGTCCCGGCTGCAGGGAGGGGAGGATGAGAAAGGGAGATTTCTCAATGCCAAGTCCTGGCAAAGGGGCCCCCAGTCAGGTTTGGGATGGATCTATCTAGCTCAGGCTCTCCCTTGTAGTGAGCACCCAGAGAAGACCGGGAAAGTTTTTAAACTCAGGGAAACCAAACTTCACTGGAACACAAACTAGGAGAGGTAACCTTTAAATAGAGAGGATCAAGAGCAAGTAGGGGACATGGAAGGGAGACAGGAGAGTTCATGCACAGCTCCTCTATCGTCCACCTTGCTCTTGCCTCCCAGCCCGTTTTATCCATCTCAGTGGCTGTACGGGTGGCAGCGTCCTCTGCCCACCCCCAGTCCTGGCTCAGGTCTGTCCCTGCGGGTGCTCAGGAAGGTGCCCCCCAGCACAAGCAAGTACGAGGGACTGTCCCACACCCCCCAGGTGCCACAGGAGGGGAGACGGCTTTCGCATTGTCTCCCCAACCCCTTGCAAGCAGGATAAACACTGCCTGGCCAGCTCCGAGGGCTCCCAGTGTGGATGGAGACCTGGCTGGGCTCCCCCAGGGCGAGGGGCTCCCAGGCGTGCATCGGGAATACAGCGGCTGCAGCCCGGCTGTGGGAAAGACAAGTCAGCGCATCTGCAGAGAGCGAAGCAACAGCTATCCAAAACACAAGCGAGATGGAGAGGAGAAAAAGCCTGTCCAGACCCGGAGAGGGAGACGCAGCGTGAAGCGCCCGAGTAGGCAAGGGGGGAGCTGGGCACGCACATGAAGTATATCTTCACCCGCCAGTTCCCATCCACCTCGGCGAAGGCGTTGGAGATGGAGACCTGCAGGCCCACGTTGGGGACCAGGGAAATCCGCGAGTACGGCAAGTTGAAACTGCGAAGGTCCAATCTAAAAATAAATAAATAAAAATTAAGAGAAAAGTCACATTACAGGGGTGCCTCACCCCTGGGCACACAGCTGGGGAGGGAGGGAGCGGGACCACCACACTTGCAGCACCCCGGCTCCCATCCTGCCACAGCAAAGTGATGCCTGGCAGGGACACGCAAAGCGGCGTGTTTTGGAAATGGCATCCCTGCAGCCATCCAAACGGAGACAGCAGCTCGAAACCCTGCACAGCAGGAGCGGAGAGGTGATGGGGCAGCGGAGAGCTGGGACGTCCACAGGGGCTGGGCCACCTCCACCGCCTCGGCTTCAATTGCGCAAAACCCACCCGCACCCAGAGTGCCGTCACCCCGGTTCCCTTTTTCCCCTTTGGGCAGGAGCGTCTCTGCCTGCACTGAGGACAGGGCCAACATCTCTGGGAGCTGTGGAGGGGACAGGATTGTCCTTGCTGCTCCGGGGGCTCCCCATCCTCCCCCAGCCCTCCTGCCCCTCACATGGGTTGGGGGGGCAATGAGCCGCTCCAGGGCGCTGGCAGGGCTCACCTGGAGATCTCATAGTGCACCTTCCCCACGTGCCGGATGCGAAAGTCACCCGAGATATCTGGCAGCTTCAGCTGGGCCAGCTCCTTCTCCAGGATGGCGATCCCCTGCTGATGCGCTGCAGGGGATGAGGAAGAGCATCACGGCCACACGCTTCCCGCAGGAGCTGGGAGCATGCACCGGGCGCACAGCAAAAGGGTTAAAGGAAACATCCAGGAGATGCCCTGGCTGCTTTCCACCTCTCAGGCTATCTTTAAAGCTAATCTCGGTGCAGGGAGCCCTGTGAGCACACAGGCAACCTGCCTGACTCCTGCCCGCTTGCAAGCCCCAGGGGAAGGTGGTGGCCAGGCATTGAAAGGGGGGAGAGGTCCCAGTTCTCGCTCTCTGGACTGGGCACTGTGCGAGGTGTATGGGAGGTTCTGGGCACCGCGCTGCTCCATGCCCAGCACCGGTGGGCAAAGCTGGATGGAGTACATGACGCGAGTGGGTGCTGCATCCTTGCATCCATCTGGGAAGGGGAGTCACGTCCTCCTCTCCCACACGGCTGGCAGAGCTGCCGGGTAAATGAGCTGTTTCTCACACAGTGTATTTCAATCCATAACAGCACTCTGCTGGAGCCGGGGCTCTGCCTGCCTCAATAAAACCAGCGCGGGGCCCATCCATCTCCGTCACTGCCCCCCCTGCAGCTCCCCCCCTCTCTCTTCTCCGCAGCTCACTCCTCCAAGGCTCACAGCTCAGCTGCCCGGACCCGTGCCATGGGAGTGGGACCCTCCTGCCCTGCCAGCTCTGCGCCTCCCCCGACACCGCCTGGGCACAGCCCCCCGAGACCCCCACAGGGGCTCTGTGACGGTGGGTCATCAGCAGGAAGCCCCAGGCGATGGTGCATTTGGCACCCCCGGCCAAAGATCCCCCCCATCCTGCCCCAGGACGCTGCGCTCTCCAAGCGGGCGCCCAGCTCCGCGCCTCAGCCACCAGCACATCTGCAAGGAGCCAGATCAGAAGTCGAACCCACCATAGTCCAATCCACTCTGGGTGATCCTCACCACGAAGCCGGGGCTGGTGGCTCCGGTGAGGGCCAGGCACAAAGCCAGCGCCCCGCAAGCCGCCGCCAGGCTCTGCGCTCCCATCCTGGCTGCCCCGCGATACCGCGCTCCTGCTGGGCTCTCCCTGCCCACGCCGCCTTTATATCCGTGCCAAAACAGGAACCATAGGCCAGGGAGGCAGGCAGAGCTGCTGCCGCAGCCCATGCGGCACATCCTCCAGAGCCGCAGGGCTTCCTCCTTGGCCGCCACCACGCTCCTCTGCACCGGCGGCACCTGCGCCTACGGCACGGCGTGGCACACCTGCACCCAGCGGCACACCCGGTGCCTCTCCTCGCAGGCAGGGAAGGGCGAGCAAAAAACCAGGAGGCAACAGCTCAGTTTCCAGCTCTCCACTGGGTGCAAAGGGTCCCTGCCTGCAGCAGCCGCAGGTGCTCAGTGAAGCAGACCTGGTGCGGGCACGGGTTTGGCTCTGCCAGCTGCATTCCATGAGGCTACGTTCTTGCTCCATGCTCTGCCTGCTCTGCTCTGCTTTTGCCGACCAAAGGCTGGGAACAGCCCGGGCTGCCCTCAAGCTGTCTGCCAGCCCTGCTGCCCCCCACCCCTGTCCCACCGGGCTCCGGTCTGCTCTGCGCTCCTGGGCATTAGGTGATGCTATCACGGCACAGACCCGCCAAAGGCACCGGTTGTAACCAGGGCAGCCTTGGGGCATAGCAAAGGCTAAAGAAAGCGTGTTACAGCTTCTTACTCCCTGCAAGCAGACCCTGAAGTCCCCCCGCACCCAGCAGGGCTGGTGAAGGAGCAGCTTCCCCAGGGCTGGGTGGCTGCAGCAACTGGGGGCAACTAAATCAACGGGGTGCCCTGCACCTCCAGCCCCCGGCACGGGGCTGTCACCGAGCAGCCATGCATGGGAGGAGACATCCAGCGCACCGGGAACAAGCCCCAAAGGCAAAACTTCTGGGGCCCTGCCATGTCACAGCTCTTGGGCTCACGATGGCTGGAGACGGGTGCGGGAGCTGGGTGCAGCCGGGCAGGGGTGAGAGCGGGGCCAGCCAGACCCTCCATGCAGGCTGCAGGATAGAGGTGAGGGAAGAAGAAATTATTTAAGTTACTTTCATTTCTCATTGGGGAAGCGGCAGGACCGGGCACAGGAAAACCACGGCAGCTGATGCAGGCAGATCTCATGCTGGATCCAGGGAAGTCCTGGTTGCCAGAGGCAACATCCCTGAACCAAGCGCTTGTGAAATGCAGCTATTGCTCAAGCACAGATGGCATGGCCGTAGCCCCAGCAGGCCCTGAGGGACAGCGTGAGTGGAGCCCCGGGGCATCTGTGCTGGAGGAACCTGGCACATGGAGGATCAGGGCTTGAGAGGTCGAGGCTCTCGGATCCACTCTGCCTTTCTTCCCGAGTTTCAGACCGCGACACTTGCGGGCTGCCTGGCAGATACACAGCAAACTCACCAGATGTGCACGTGTGGCTACGGCTTTGGAGAGCAGCACTGCCGCCATCGTTGGCTCTCAGAGCCGGAGCAGGAAAACAAGGACACAGGAACACAGCAGGTCTGGTGCTGATGGTGCCTGCCAAAGAGGGACAAACAGCCCAGGGAAGAGCCATGTGTCCCGGGCAGCTAGACAGCATCCAGGGGCTGTGATCCTCCCATCAGTGCTGGCCCCAATCCATCCCTGGGGGCAGGAGCCCATGGGCAGAGCTTATTTTGCCCAGAAAGAAGCAGCCAAGAGCAGAGGAGAAGGTTAAGGGACCAAATCCCCACTTGCAGCCTCCACGGCTCTATGAGTGTGCTGCTGCCTGTCACCAGCGCTTTGCTGGGTCTTGCTCAGTGCGGAGGAGAAGCTCCGCAAACCCTCCTGTCTGTGACACCACATCTCAGCAGGGTGGTTTCGAAACAATATTTAAGACATTCAGGACAAGCATTGAGGAACCAGAACCTCTTCCATGAGGAGAAATGAAATTTTATAAGGAGCAGCACAGAGAGGAAGCAAAACCAGAGTGTCTTCCTTCTGGGTTTGAGCAAATTTTAAAGTTGCACTGAAAAAAACCCCTTCAAACAGCACGAACCCTGACCAAACACTCCCACGTTTGGCAAGGAACAGCTGAAACCACATCTAATGCTTGATATGCGGGCTGGTCCCGCTAGTGCTTTGTGCAAGGGATGCCAGCAGTGAGTTGAGCATGAAATCCTGCCCTGCCCGACCTGACCCTTCGGAGGGGAAAAGGCTTCGCCTGACGGGCTGCTCTACCAGTCCCAGGAGTACAGGTCCTGCTCCACCGGGGAAGGACTAGTTCCCCCAGGGCTGCTGGAGCTGGGCTGGGGTTTGCTGGGCTGTACATGCAGGAAAGGGCCATCATAAAATGGTAGCCAAGAGGCCAGGAGGGCAGGGAGTTGCAGGAGGTCCCTCTCCTGTGCTGCCGTCTGTCCTTCAGCCAGGGCTGGTCAGGACCCGCTCCCTGCTGTCCCCAGGCCACCCCCCGCTCCCCAGGTCAGGGCTTTCTCTGGCCCCACACATTTAGCACGTGCGGGCAGTTCCTGATCCTGCCCACAGCTCTTTCCGCATCTCTTGCATGATGCAACGGCCCAAACCACCCTGCAATCGTGTGCTGGGGCTCCCCGGGGGGGATGACTGTGGGGATTGGGCTGTGGCCCTGCTCCATCCCCAGCAGCCACCAGCTCTGGTCCGCTGGGCTTGCTGCCACAGCGAGCCCCTTCCCAGGTGAGCCCCCAACGAGGGCGGGCTGCATCCCAGCTGTCCTCGGGACGGCTTTGGCAGATGCAGGGCAGTGCGGCTGGCATTATTGCTCCGTGGGCTGTGAGCAAGAACACCTTGACGTGTTTGCTGTCTGCAAGGAAATCTGGCCGCATCTGTTTCTTATGGTGCCACAACCACCCCGGGAATTCCCCGGGGCCTGGGTAGCGTGTGTTGGTGCCAGAGGCATCACTGCTGCCGCTCATCAGGCTTTCACTTGCAGCTGCGGGGCAGAGCTGTGGGCTGGAAAACACTCTGCTGGGGAAATGCAGGGGAAAACCCGGGGGACTCGGCAAGAAAAGCGAGAGCAACCCAGCTGGTTTTGGGGGGAACTTGGAAAACAGAAGTCCATAGCCAGAAATAAAGCCTCCCCCTATCCATTTCCAGCCAGGACAAGTTCCCTGCCACCAATGGGACAGGGCTCTGACCAGGACCTGTGGCCACCGCGGTTGTCCCTAGACCTGCAGGGACTTCACCCAGAGCTTGGCAAAACAGTCGGCATCGAGACGTGGCGGAGCTGCGGCTCCTGCCCACTCCCACATGCACGGGATCACCACCAGCCTGACACTGCCCACTGTCACCTGCGAGTCCCTGACAACCTTTGATCCAGCAGCATCTAAAAATACAGCCGGGGAAACACACGGGGGCTCCTCCGCTGTTGTTTTCCCAGCTGCAGGATCGGCGTGACCCGGCCACGGCTGTTCCTGGAGCCAGGAGGGCTCTCCGCCAGCGTGGGGTCGGTGCTGACGCCAGCCCTGACCGCTGCATCAAAAACAGGCAAATGGAAATACTCTGGGACCCGAGAGCTAATAAAGCAGGAGCCCTGCGGGGCACAGCGAGCAGCTGCACCCGGCAGACGAGGACCCAGGGTGCAGGGACACGGCCACAAGTGATGAGGATCCCAGCAGGAGCCCAGCCCCAGAGACCGTCCCCGATGCTGGGCCCACCACCCTTGCCCTCCCTCCACCCCAACATCCCAGTGACATCCCGAGAGTCCCCCCGGGACCAGCGCTGCAGCCAGTGTGTCTTCTCCATCCGCAGAGGGCTGCCATTGCCCCCAGACAGACGGGCTCCTCTCGCAGCACGCCAGCTAGTGACACGAGGTCTGGGAGCCTCGTGGGAGACAAAAGGGGACGCAAAGAGCAGAGGGGGATGATTTTGCAGAAAAGTAAAAATAAAAATGCAGGAATGGTGACCTCAGGCAGAGCCTGAGAGGGGATCTGAATGGTGGCTCTGTGCCGGCGGAGGGGCAGGGCAAGAGGCCACATGCAGCCTGTCCCAGCAGCTGCTCGGGACAAACAGGACATGGAGAATGGGAGCAAAAGAGGAGGGTGAGCTCATGGGGTCAGGGGCCCTGGAGTGGCAGGGGCACCCAGGAACTCTGTCTTTTGCTGGGCAGGCTTGGTCCCCAGCACCCCGATTCCCACCTGCAAGCCCTGCTGTCTCAGGGCGACAGGAGGGCACAGGGAGCTGCTTTGGGGTGCTGCAGGGATGGAGGACTGGATCCAGCCACGCTGGGTGCATTTGCAGGGTGGACCAGTTGAGCACAGCTGATAAGAGCACCCCAGGCTCCAGGCAGGGAGTTGCTGCCCTCGGGCACTCCACAGTGTGGGGGGGTGAGGGGGTCCCTCTGGGCTTGGCTTTGCATCCTTCCCCTGCTGCTCACCAGTGCCACAAAGGGATCCTACCTGCTGGTACCAGGACCCTGCCTTCCTCCCCGCCTGCAGCCTCCTCGCCCAGCCCTGGTGCCTGTCAGACGTGCATGAGCCAAAGCAAGGTCTTGGGCTCATTTCAGAGGTAACCATGCAGTTAAAGAAGGTCAGAGCATGAGCTCATACTCCCCTCACACTCAGAGAAACTATAAAAAGGCTGAAGCAGAGTATGTGAACTAATGCAATTAAATGAGCAATTGGCTGCTGGTGGGGGAGGAGCTGGCCCAGCAGACCCCAGTTTGCATTAGGGATCCCGGGCAAACAGCTTGGATGGGGTTTGAGCCGAAGGCCAGCCCTGCACAGAGCAGCGGCAGTGCCTGCGGGCCCGGAGCCGTGCGGTGGGCTGCCGCTGGGTGCTCCAGCCCCGCTGCCCACAGCCAAGCCTCTGCCCACCCAGCGTGACTGCTGGTGCCTGAGCCCTTGCAGCACTCGTGATCTATACCAGTGACGAAAGGGCTCTCTCCCGCTCCCAAGGAAATGGGAAGCAAACGCAAGCCCTCCCTGGCGCCGTCCTCCCTCCAAAACAAGCCAGCAACCCAGCTGTACCTCCTCCCGTCTCGGCTTGTTTTCACGGCGTGTCCTTTGGCTGCTCGCTAATCCCTGGACAAACCTTCGTTCTCGAGACTACCCCAGCAGCTTGCGGCCCACGCCGTGGCCGTCCCACCCGTCCCCGCTCCAGTCCCCCATCCCAGCTCTGGTCCCGTCCTTGAGCCCGTGCCCACGAAGACGGCAGCAAACACGGCTTCAGCGTGAGCATGGAGCAGAGGGTCTGAGAGCGCTCGACACCGTGCCCAGGGATGGAAGAGCTGTGCCGAGCAGCGGTGGTTTGCGTTAGGATAGACCAAATCTGTGGCTTTGGCTCTTACGCCGATTGTTTTTGTATGACTTCTGGTTGCTAAATCACACAATTCTGCCTTCAAGTAGGTACTTTCCATCGTTGAAACATCCAAAGAGCCGTAAGAGACACTTTTCTTCTGCTGTGCTTTCAGGCCAATTCAGAAATGGGAACCCCGAGCTGTGCAAAGCGCTGGACTGCATACAGACCAGCCCAGGTGGTTCCTACCAGCAGGGGCCTGTGTTTATTTAAAAAGAGGGAAACGGCCACAAACGCAGCACGCCGGCGTGTCCGCGCACACGCGGGGCCGTGAAGGGTCCCCCGAGCCGGGAGCAGGAGCTGCCCGGAGCCGCTCCGGGGGCGGGGGGACCGCGGCGGAGCGCCCCGGGCCGGGGGGGCCGGGCCAGAACCCGCCGGGGGCTGCCGCCCTCCGGCTTTTTTCTCCGGGGGTCTTGCCCACCCCCCGTACCGCCCCC